AGGCGGCAGTGGAGATTTCCATCCTGGGCGAGGCGCAAGTCGCCCGTGGGTTCTGCGGTCGTGCGATGTACCGTATCACGCAGGGAGACAAAACTTGCAAATGGGCTCCTGGACTATGGGTTCTACCCTTTCATAGACGCTTGCGTGGGGTTCCAGATTTGAGTTGGCATAGGCCATTTCCTCGTTCACACCTTCTCACAACCGCCCCCCGGATTATCCACGCCCGCATCCACATACCAACTCCGACATATCAGAACTGGCAAGACCAACCACAATGCCTTGAAACCTCAAAGGAAACTCCTCAACTCCATTCCCGGGCAACTCTAAGAGAAATCCGAGACGCCCTGAATTCCCGAAAGAGGAGGAAAAGGGAAAGGTTTTTCTTAAGTCGTTCATGCGAGCATGCATGGTATGTGTAGGTCTAGCACGGCGAACTTCCACAACAGCAGCGACCTCCACGACCACAGTGGGCTTCAGTAATCGCAACTTGAGTAGTAGAGAACAACATGAAGTTTGCCTGTTCTGGGTAGTCTGTCGTTCCCATTTACATGAGGACGGTAGCACAAGCTCGAGAGACATCGCTACTGCCGTTTGAAGACTCCACCATTAGGGGAAGAGACGCGCTCTAACAGGACGCTTGACCCTGACAAACTTTATGCCACCACTCGCACATGCTTGTGCAGGATTGTGTATAGTATTGGCGATGAAGCTCATGTCATTAATCGCACATGTTTCAGCAGGATTGCGTATCATATAGTTTCAAAACAAAGTATAGGATGTAGCTTAGTATGGCATCGTACTGTGTAGAACATCAGCTTGCATAGAAGAGACTTCTTGGACGAAGGTGACGCCTAAAGAAACATTGAGAGAACAGGATGAGCACGCAGAGCATGCAGCACGACGAAAGAGTTTGCGCTTGATCATGCACACAAGCCTTTCTATTTCTGTGCTGCTCGTGCAGTAACTAGCAGAACGCAGAATTGGAAGCAGGAGTAGTCAGTCCCCCAATGTCGAAAGAGCATTTTGATTAGAGTTTCATCTTTAACCTTAATGCTGCTCTTGAGTCCTGCCTAGACTCAGGGCTCCAGTCCTTTCCTCAAGACGTAGAGCCGGAGTCCCAAAGCACTGACTGCACCTGCTCACTGGCTCGCAGCAGTTTTGGGGTTTACCGGGTTCGAGCATAGACGAGATGCACCAACAACTGCTAGGGTTCAGGGTTTAGGGTTGACGTTGCTCAAGATTTGGCCCGTCTTATGCAAAAGTAGTACAAGCCTGACCATTTGACATGCGAATCAGTAGGGTGGTCAACGAGACATCTGCGTGAAGACCATGGAGGACCACAAGAGTTTCAAACTCGCTGGTTGGTTGAAGGCTTGTCAGGAGATCCTGGCAGCGGAGCAGAAATGGAAATCCCGGAAAGTCTCTTGGCACGTGAGGTAATATCGTTGTTTAAGGGTGTAGGGTTTAGGGTTCAGAGCAGATGAAGTAACATCTTTGTTTTCAAGGCTCGCATAACCAGAGACGAAACTTGATAATTACTCCGCCCATACTTGAGTTCTACATGCAAGGTGTGGTTTTGGCTTCTTGCCCAAACCACGACTGCCGTCTGCTTCGTTATCCCTGCTCTCATCCATTATAGCAACTTGGTATGATGTTCGCAGGATGTTCGTAGCTGGATTCTCAGTTTGGCATCTTTCGCTACAAAAACCAGACACACTTGTGTTTTGAGTTTTAGGCGCCGTTTGCTAGTGTAAGGCTTCTACGTGGGCGTGCTTGCGGTCCTGCTGGCCCTGGCCGTCCATAGGGCCCGTGCTTCCGAATCCGGCAAGATTGATCTCAAGGCGCTTTTCCTGCATATGATGTTTCCGCAGGACTACTCTGCATTTGGTTTAGCCCTGGAACAACGGCCTGCCAGGGGGTTCTATGTTGTTTCCATACTGATGCGAGTGGTCGGACTTCTTGGCGGTTTCCCCGTGTTGGCGGCATCAGCGCAACTTGGTTTCACAACACATCTGGGGGAAGCTGCTGCTTACGTGGTGCAAGCCCCAATCGACGAACAGTATCAGCCGTCAGACTGGCGATGGTTGATGCCGCTCACGACAACTGTGGCAATGTCCACCTCTGTGTGTTTCTGTGGCTGGGGTTTCTTAGCAAGGTGCATGTGCCAGGAAAATGCGTTTTCCGGCGCTGCTCCTGCAGACCCTATCTTGCGGCAACGCATCTCTGAAAGAGCTGAGGAATTGTCCGCAAGAATGAAGAGCCGTGAGCTGAAACCCACATGGCAAGAATACATAATGCTTCATGTTGGAATGTTGTCTTTTATTTGGGACTTGGCATCGGATGGGCTTTTCGCCTGGAAGTTCTTTGATCAGGGATTTTATTGGTTTTTCGGATTTCAAGTCAGCATCATTGTTCTTACGCTGTGGGCAGAGTGCCGCGTTGTTCGAAAGCTAGATGACCTGTGTGCCTGGCACAATGCGTTTTTTTTGTCCAGCTCTCATGGTTGGCCGACTGACACCTATTATTCTGTATCTTTGCAGGAAAAGTTGGTCGAAGCACCCTTGGTAGGCATGCTGACAAGCTACAGTGTGATCTGGATGCCGAGATCGGACAGTTTGTTTGATACCTTCGTGGCAACCCTGAAAGTTTTCATCGCTACGTACAACTGCATCAACTCTGCTTACGACCTGCTGCAGCTAGATCTTGGGCCACAGCTTGAGGCTGTGATGAAGGAGCTTGAGCCTTCGCACAAACGTGATTCCACACGGCTTCGGGCTCAACGTGCTGCAGCTCCTCCACTACAACCTCAATATCCAGTGACCCCCGCACAAGTGGTGGGACATGTGCCACCGCCAGAATACCCATTCTTCCCGCCAGGTATGCAGCTCCAATATCCAGTGACCCCACCACAGGTGGTGGGACATGTGCCACCACCAGAATACCCGTTGTTCCCGCCGGGCATTCAGCTTTGTCAGCCGGAGGTTGTCCCGGCTGGCAATGCTGGCCCAGCTTTTCCAGCAGGATCAAGAACTGAGGCTACTACGGCTGCTGACCCAGCAAAGCTGGCCAGACCCAGGCCGTCCATGCCGCCACTCCCAAACTTTGGAGCCGTCATCCAAGTCGCGGCGCCTCGTGGTGTGAACGGTGTCGTTGATAAAGAGTAGCCCCAACAAAGCGTTTCAGAGGAAGAGGCCGGTGTTTCTTGTGCCGGAATGCCAAAGGCGCGGCGCTGTGATGCCGAAAAATATTTATGAGCAGGGAAAAAGAGGCAGTTTGCTGCTTCTTTGAGATGCGCCGTCTGGAACATGGTCCAGACCTCCTTTTGGCAGATTTGTTTAATTAGAATGGTGTCGTTGATAAAGTGCAGCCCCATCAAGCGCTTCAAACGAAGCCGCAGGGTTTGCCTGTGCTGGAATGCCAAAGGGGGCTGTCATACGGATAACTTTCTGAACTGAGAGAAGAGGCAGTTTGCTGCCTCCCTTTTACGCGCATTCTGGAAGAGGCAGTTTGCTGCCTTTTTGCTATGCTGTCTGGAAAATGGTCCAGATTTGCAAGACGGGTCCCATGCAAACTATTCCTTTTGGAATAGATTTCTTGGAGGATAGACCACAGATTCCATGGGTTTAGTATGTGATTCCTTTTTGACCCGCCTTGTTCGTGGAAACAGATGGCTCATGTTCCCAATTGCTTTCGAGCTTCGTTGCTTCATTTGCATGCCAGTGGGGAGGTAGGGACCTTAATTCCCTGACCTTTCCCGGCCGACTCTCCAAGCCCAATTACTTTCGAGCTTCGTTGCTTCATTTGCATGCCAGTGGGGAGGTAGGGACCTTAATTCCCTGACCTTTCCCGGCCGACTCTCCAAGCCCGGATGCAAAAAGGGAGTAAGGTCCTCCGATGTCGGAAACGTGTGAAGGCTTGAGCTGCCCGCCCATATAAGCCTGAGGAGCAAGCGCTGCTTTCATGGCGGATTGCGTTCAGCTACTGTACATGACTATGCTAAGCTGCTACGATGGAACACGCTCCGGTCATGACCGCTCTGCAACTTTGTCCACACATCAAGTCGCAAGTTCAGGGCTGCCAGTGGCAGCGTAGCATGAGTAATGATGGAATGGGGCATGAGCCATGAGTAATAATGGAATGGGGCAAGCTCGCAGCCAAATCGATCACAGTTAGCACAGCGAACGTCCAGCAGCAGGAACATTCCCACCTGGTGAGTGCGGTTGCCATGGCAAAGCTTCAGTTTCTCGCTGCGCTTGCCTGTGCTGCAGTGGCCGAGGCATGCAACAAAAACTCAGACTGTACGAGCAACTGGTGCGACGGTGGCACTTTCTTCTCATCTGGCCGGTGTAAGCCACGGAGAGCAGATGGCGAAAGAGCTGTAGGGAGTTGGCCGAGCTACGACTACAACATCTGCCTTGCCGGGCGTGGCAAAGTGCGGTATATGTGGCGATCGGGTTCCCGATGGCAGCGCCTGCACGTCAAACAGCGACTGCGTGTCGGACTGGTGCGAAGGCTTTGGCAGCTGCAGCGGGGTGTGCAAAGGGCGCAAGGCTGATGGGACCAGGATTGTTTGCGACAGCCTCTCTATTACCACCGGCGGCTGCGATTACAATCAATGCGAAGCCCGTGCAGGCAAGTGTGGAGTGTGCGGGCGCACTGTGCCCGATGGTTCGACTTGCTCGGAGAATGCTGACTGCAGCAGTGGTTGGTGTGAGGGTTTCCCATCAGTCGGCTGTCAAGGCAGCTGCAGGCCCAAGAAGGATGATGGGTACCGACTGCCATGTAACGACCCCACGAAAGTCACCTCTGGGGGTTGCGACTACAATCAGTGCAAAGCTTCCGAAGGCAGATGTGGAGTCTGTGGTCGCAAGGTTCCTACTGGAACCTCTTGTTCCCAGGAAAGTGACTGCGCCAGCAACGTCTGCCGCTTGCCCGCAGGGGTTCTTGGCACTTCTGTGGGCTGCAACGGCCAGTGTGCCGAGCCCTTGCCTGATGGGTCTATGTTGCCACGGCTGACGTGGCCCATCAATGGTGCCTTCTATGACTATTCTGAATGTTCTGCCGGGGCTGGCATTTGTGGCGTTTGTGGCAGTCGGGCGGGTGAAGGTGCAAAATGTTCAGCAACAGCAGACTGCGCAGAAGATCTTTGTTGCGGTGGCCTTCTTGAAGGTCGCATTTCCGTCAACTGCCAGGGCGCCTGCGTCAAAAGGACCCCAAGTGCTTGCCCAAGCTTGGTGGACATGAGCGCATTGACCGAAGTGGTGGACAGTTTCGTGAAGTTCGCTAGAGATTTCGGCCAGTGCATGATCGAGGAGGTGGTTGAACCGTGGCTGGAGGCCCGAAGCTGTCAGAAGATACCCTGTTTCCATCACGCGTGTGGCAGCCGCCGCTGCAAACTGACATTTTCAATCTTTTACCGTTTCTTTCCATTGTCTCTCTCTCTCTCTCTCTCTCTCTCTCTGTCTCTCTCCCTTCTGTCCTCTGCATTCCGTCATATGTCTTCATCTTCTGTCTTTTGCCTCTGCGTCTGTCTGTCTGTCTGTCTG